GGTGGAGACCCCTGATATAAAGATGGAACCAGGTCCCTAGCCTCCCTGTGGCACAGATACTTCCTGAACGTCCATCCCTACCAGTACCCTGCCCATCCCGGTGTTGTCCCCAGCTCGCAGCCCAGGATCTGGCCAGGAGTGGCTGAGCGACAGTCAGTGCAGGAACCGCGCTGGGAGAGGAGGCTGCGGCAGGCGGGACACGAGACCGGCCGGCAGGGGGCGCTGCGTAGCTCGGGTCCGGCTGTGTCGCTCCGAGCTGCCAGGAGGGGTGCACATGACTGGGCCGCAGGGCCCGACCTTGCCACCCCACCTGATGACTGGCTCCCTAATAACACTGCACACCTTTATGTCCCCTTTCATTGCCAGGCCAAACATTAATTAAGGCTCTCGAGTTGTCTACCCTGAAGGAGAGTGGTGGGGCAGGGAGACTGAGCCAGGCTGGGAGGGAGCCTGTGGCCCCATGCAGCCCACGTCCTGTTGAGCAGAAGCTGGGCTCCAGCTGGGGTTTCTGTCTCCTTTCCCACCCAAACCCCCCTTGGTAACACCCTGAATAGGAGTGAGGTTTTTTTTTTTTTTTTTTTTTTTCACTAGTGATGGAACTCAGGACCTTGCACCTGCCAGGCAGGTGCTTGTGCTGCTGAGCTATCTCACTATATAGCCCAGGCTGACCCCAAACTCTCAGGGACCCTCCTGCCTCAGCCTCCTATATACTGAGATTATGGGGGCACATGGCCATACCTAGCTTAGTAATGGTACCTTGGTGCCCCTTCTAGGGATAGGGGCACACGGGGGGGGCAGCTATAGAGCAGGACACAGCGGAACCCCTTAATCTATGGCACACTCCCCAGCTGGGATACCTGCATGTGCCCATACCGCAGAGGAGGCAAAATGAGTGCTGGGGAAATGAAATACTTTTTCCAAGGGACCCTGGAAAGGTAGTTTCTCTTCCCTTCTCTTCCCTTCTCTTCTCCTCCCTTTTCCTTTTTCTCTCTCTCTCCTCTCCCCCTCCCTCCCTCTTCTTCTCCCTCTCCCTCTTTCACTTTGCACTATTTCTTTATTTATCTATTATGTACTTGGCCCAGGGTCTCACTGTGCAGCTCTGGACTCCCAGTGATCCTCCTGTTCTCAGACTCCTCAGTGCTGGGATTACAGGCGTGCCCCGCTGTGCCCCGCTGTGCCTGGACTCCGGGCGGCTCATGGCACCCAGGGGCGGGGCAGGCGGGGCATGTGGTGCTAGGATCGAACCCAGGCCCTGCTCTTTCCTAAGCAGGTGCTTGGTCCATTGAGCTATTGCGCTATTGCGCTATTTATTTTCTTAAAAATTTATGAGTCCATGTTTGGGATGCGCAGTGACTTTGCGCCTCGTGTGCACACAAGCTTCCTCGCCCCTCCCCTCCCCTCACACCCCTGGACCCCGCCTTCCCACGAGCCACCTTTGGCTTGCTCTTTGTTTACACTTTGGGCTCCCCATGTAAGAGAACCCTGCGCTACTTAAGCTCCAATCTCTGATTTATTCCCCTTAACATTACCGTCTCAGGGGGGCACCACAGGGATCAGGTTTAGCTTCTCCTTGGAAAGGGAGATAAATGCTTTTCTCCAAAGTGCTACCACTAGGTGAACTGGATTCAACCTGAGTATTCCTTGCATGATCTTTACAGCTTCTCAGAACTTGAAGCTGTGTCCTCAAAAAAAAAAAAAAAAAAGTTTAAAATAAAAAAAAGAAGAGAGGACAAGCACCCTGAGTCTGGGGTCCCTGGAGGGAACAGGCGCGGGAGGCCATTCCCGGGCGCGTGCTGTGCGAGGCGGGGACACGGAGGTGGGGTCGCCCTTCCACGCCCTCCCCAGGGGGCGTCGCCCCCCGTCTGGCCCCGCCTTGACTCCGCGGCTTAAAAGCGGGGTGCCCGGGGCTGGTGTGCTCATGCTGCAGCCGTGAGCCCCACTCGGCTCTCTTGTGACCGTGACCGCGGCTGGGTGCCGAGCTCTGGTGAGTGGCGTCGCCTGCGAGGAAGGAGGCTGGGGTTCCCTCTGGGGCTGGCGATGGGGCTGGGGATCAGGCAGGAGGAGCCCTCTGGAGGCGCCCTGTCCCACTGCAGACACTGCTCTCCGCACCCCAAGGCCTATGCCGGTGATGAGGCCGGGGCTGGGCAGCCTCGGGCACACTGCGGGTGGACGCTGCCCGCGTGTCCAGGCTCACAGCGACACCCTGCTCTGGACGCTGTGCCCACTGAGGTGGCTCTCTTTCTTGGTCCATTCAGCCCCACGTGAACCCGTGTCCCCTTTCCCAGAGTGTACTGCCGTGGTCCCTGGTCCTGTCCTATTTGGGTCTGTCCCAACCCATGAGACCTCCATCCCCAGGGACCCTAGGGACCGCGCAGACTTCCGAGTAACTCCCGTAGGGGTTGTGGGTGCGGTGTGGGCTTCAACCCAGATAGCCGGGTTCTGACTTCTTGTGGCTTACATGACCCCATCTGGTGGCTCAGGGCTGGCGACTCTTGCTGAAGGTGGGGATGGCACTAGCAGACCGGCCTCTCTGCCTGGATGCAGTGTGCATGCAGCTCCCCCTGAGGAGCAGTGTTCCTGCCCCTCAGCTCTTGTCTCCAGCTCTGGTTACCTGGGGTGGCATCCTCTGACTTCAGGGCTCTCAGCCTGCAGCTGACGTCTGTCCCAGCATGCTGAGGTGTCCTCCACTCTGCAGCTTCTGCACATCTGGGACGAATTCAAGGCCAGACAGCCCAGTCTGTCTGTGGTCCTGAGTCAGCCAGGCTGGCTTGGCAGGGACCATGCTGAGGCGGGCTGAGCCGGGGGCTGGAGCCAGGAGGGCTCCTGTGGACCCCACAGAGGCCCCGGAAGCTTCGCCCCAGAGCCACGGACCCCGCTGGTCCTGCTCTATAGAGCGGGCAATGAGTGCAGGTGGAAATCAGTCCAGATGTGGAGAAATAGGAGGTGGGTAAGAAGCGGCAGGAACAACAGGAGGCCGAAAACACAGTAGTTTTCTTCCCCAGATCCTGACCATGAGTTGGGACAGCAGCCTCGGCTCCAGGACCTCGCTCTGGGATGTGGGATTGGGAAGCTGCTCTCAGTGTGCTTTGACTGAGGGTAGATCTGTGTGAGGCAGCGCTGGGTCCCTGGGTGCTGCTGAGAGGGCGTAGTATTCACAGATCCTGGTTTCTTTCAGGGAAGCCCTGGGAGCTGGGCGTGGTGGTGCCCTGCTATAATCCCAGCACTGGAGAGACTGACAAAGGGGGATCACCGTGAGTTCAAGGCCAGCCAGAGCTACATAGTGAGACCCTGTCTCAACCGTCCCCTTGAACGTAAAAGCCTTGGGAAGTTCTCCCCATTGAGTTGCTACGGTTGCTAAGCTAATTACGGCCCTGCTCTGGCCTCCAGGGGAAGCCACATTGGACCTCCCCGACCCCAGGGAGGGAGAATCCCCACACAGGGACTGGGAAGGATTTGCTTTTCCTCCCTCAGTTTCTGTTTTAGAACAATGACCATTTCAGCTTTGCGGGGCTGTGAGCACTGGGAGTCAAATATGGACCAAAGTGGAGGGTGAGGGTGTGGCCGGTCTTGTCCTGGGGGAGTCAACTAGTATAAGTGGCTGCTTCTGTCCCTTCCCACTTCCTCCAGGCTGCTAGGGTGAAAATGGACCAACACACCTTAGTGCAGCTTACAGAAGTGCCCCAAACTGTACAGCCCCCAAGGTGTTGAGGGATAAGGGGTGGGCTAATAGCACTGGGTAAGTGGGGGGTGGGTTGGATATGAGTCCTGAGTACTTTAAAGTGGAGAGAACAGCTGGGCATCCTGGTACAAATCCATGATCCCAAGACCTGGGAGGCTGAGGCAGGAGGATCCCCATGAGTTCAAGGCCAGCCTGGGCTACATAGAAAAACTCTGTCTCAAAAAAACAACAAACAAAAAAGATGGAGGAGGGGCTGGGGAGATGGCTCAGTGGAATAAGCGCTTCCCTGGCAAGCGCAAGCGCCTGAGTTCAATCCCAGGTTCCGCAAAAAAAAAAAAAAAAAAAAAAAAAAGGGAGGGAACAAAGCCATTCTTCAGCCAGGGCAGAGGACAGTAGACAAGTTGTGAGCCTTGTGGTGAAGTTTGGGGTGTACCATGCTCCACAGTTAGGGTCCCAGATAGGTGTCAGGAATGCCCAACTAACTGTGTAAGCTTGGACAAGCCTCTCTCCTCCTCCATTTTCCCATCTACAAGATGGTGAGATGACTTGACCAGGCCTCAAAAGGCACTGAGTTCTCTTTTTGTTTGGTTTGGTTTTGAGACAGGTTCCTGGTATAGCCCAGGCTGGCCTCGAACTCCCAGTGATCCTCCTGTCTCAGCCTCCCGAGTGCTAGGATGACTGGTGGAAGCTGTCATACCAGGCTCACAATAGCAATTCACTTAATGCTCCCAGCAGCACAGCAGTGAGGTGTGGTCTGGCAAGGGCGCTTCCTTGGCCTTCTTGTGTGCTGCCTTGGGTGGGGGCAGAGCCGGCAGGACAGAGGTCCAGACACCCTGCAGTCTGAGCTCAAAGTGGGGCTTCTTTGGACCACAACCTCAGGCCTTTTGTAGGAGCACCAGGGAGTGGTGGGAGGGGGGCACTTGCAGCCTGACCAGGGTCCAGCTCACTCCCCCTGACTCTGTTGAGGAGGCCAGATGGGAGAGCTCCTTCTCAGGTCTGTTTCCTCAGGTGTACCTGGTGGGCCAGGCCCATCTCAGATCTTAGGTCCTTTGGAGAAGCTATGGGCTGTGCGAATTCCTGGTTCTGGTGGGATTGCCCAGCCAGGAAACTTGTAGCAAAATGAACCTGGAAAGACAGGAACATAGCCGGACATGGTGGTACATGTCTGTCATCCCAGCATGTAGGAAGCTGAGGCAGGAGAATCTCTGGGAATTTGAGACCAGCTTGGGCTATGTACTGAGTTCAAGGCCATCCTGGAGTACATAGTAAGACTCTGTCTTAAAGAAACAAACAAAAAAGAGAGGAGGAGCCTGCTGGGAAACTCAGGGTCTGTGGATGACGTTAAGTTTTAGTAGAGAAAGGTCCCAACTCACACCTGCACAGCCTGGGGCTTGCGGACTAATTATGTGTTCCTGGCTGAGTCATAGGATGTTTCTGCTAAGAGACCCACAGCCACCTCACCCTGTTTGAGAGGCTTCTGTCCCTGGGGCGGGGCTGCGTCCTGTCTAGGTGAGCTGGCCACTTGTCCTCTGTCTGCCTGGCTTGCTGACCTCACAGGCCAGCGATGGACGCCAGGGCTCCCCCTGCCTGGGGCTGCGCAGGGCTGGCCGGAGTCCCTGCCAGGACAGGGGACGCACTCACTTGGCCCCAGGGTGGGGTGTAATTATGCAGCTTCGTGGTCCTTTAACTGCTGAAGTCACAGCTGCCAAGCGGCCCCAACAGCGTGGGCTATTAGGCCGCTGTGTGCAGGGGCCACAGGCCTGTTGGGGTCTCCTTTGTCCCCTGAGGGATGGAGAGGGCTCTGTGGAGGTCGCCTGGCTGGGTGGGCTCGGAGGCAGGGTCTTACTGTTGTGCTGTGCTCCGGGGAGGGCTCTAAGGACAGCTGCAGATTCTTGGCATGTTTGTCCCCAAGTGTGGTCCACCCCAGATGCCTGCTCTGCCCTCCCCGTAGGGAGTGATGGCTTGGTTCCCTTGGCACCACCCTTCCCAGGTTGCTCTGGGCCTCCTCCCCAGATGGGGTTCTGGGGAACCCTGCACCTGCCCTCTCATTTGCAGTGCAGAGTGGAGTTGTCCCAGTTGGCAGGTGCTGGCCTCTTACCCCATCTTCAGAACATACAGGGCAGAAGTGTGCATCACAAAAACACGAGCTAGAGCTGGGTGTGCGCCTGCGGTCCTCACACCAGGAGTCTGAGGCAGGAGAATTGCAAGTTGGAACTCACCCTGGACAACTTAGCCACCTAGCAAGATCCTGTCTTAAAAAGTGAAAAAGCTGGGGTGGAAAGTAAAAAAAAAAAAAAAATCCTGTTTGCTGTTGACCTTCTTTTGAAGCCCTGCAGGTGCAGCCTGACCGTGGCAGGGTGGCCTGAGACCAGCTCCTTTCTCTTGATACTTTTGTTAATTCAGTCTCTACTCACCTGAATTTTTGTGGGCAGGCTCCTTTTTGTTGTTACTGTAAAACAAAATAGGCCCCTAAATCTTCCTCTTGATGGGGAGATATTGAATTAGTGCTCTTGTGCGCACTGTCTGTCTCTGTCTGTCTCTGTGTCTCTGTGTCTCTCTCTCTGTCTGTCTCTCTCCGTCTCTGTCTCTGTCTCTCTCTGTCTTTGTCTCTGTCTCTGTCTCTGTCTCTGTCTCTGTCTCTCTGAGACAGGGTCTCACCATGTAGTTGTGACCCTTCCTTCCTGCTCAGCCTGCTGAGGGCTGGGATGGAAGTGTGTGCTACACTTCCGGCTCCTCCTTCTGGAGTCCTGGATGAAAGGATGACAGGCCTTGGGCAGCTTGGGTGGCTTCGAAGGAGTGAAAAGCTGCAGCCACAGCCTGGGTGGTGTCTGGGGCTGAGGCTGGTTTTCAGGCTGGGGTTATTTGTAGTTAGGGCTCCGGCTCCCCGTCTAGAGTTGGGGTGTGTATGTATGTGTAGGGGGACAAGCCCTCCCCACCTGGCCTGGAGCTCTGCCCCCTGACTCAGGGTTCTGCTCATCAAAGAGACTCTGCTTGATGCCCAGGAGTTCACCCTGGAGTCCAGTGACCCAGCTGTGAGATCTGAGCCTCAGTTTCCCTGGTTTCTGCAGCCCTATAAAATGATGAGAAGCAGCCACGCCTTAGCCTGCAGGAAGCCTCATCCCCTTTGAACTCAGGGCCTGGCGCTGTGCAGGGAATCCCCGGCCCTGCATCAGCCAGGCAGGCAAGCAGCACCCCACCCTCTTCCAAGCCGCAGCAGGGTTCAGGATGAGCCTGGCGGGGACACCGCCCTGTGCCAGGCCCTCCCCTCTCTCTTCTTTGCTGCCCACAACAGCTTGGGTGTGGATAGAGGTCAGCATTCTCCGCTAGCCAACCAGGAAGCTCAGAAGCCTCTGACCTCATTCAGAGTCCAATAGTAGTGCTAGCCCTTATTCCTGGAATCTCAGCACTCTGTGAGGCTGAGGCAGGAGGATCTCCATGACTTTGAGGCCAGCCTGGGCCACAGAGTGAGCTCAAGGCTGTAGTGCAGACAGTGACCTTTTGTCCACCATATGCTTGCCACCAAACCCAGGGACACCCACATGGAAGGGTGGCACTGCTGGGCCGGGTGGCTTAGGCCGGGCAGAGGATGCAGAACTGCCTCCCTAGGGTTGGTGCACACCTCGGCTTCAGGGTCCTCACAAGACTTTGAGCTTCCAGGGGGTGCCAGGCTGGAAGACGCGCACCTGCTGGGAGCACAGTGAACGTGCCTGCAGTTGGCTTGGGGGCTGCAAGGTTGCATCCCAGGGGCCATCGCACTTGGGCTCGACTGGAGGAGGGACGACGTGGGGGAGCACAAGGAGCCCATGGGCTGCTGCAGCTGCCTGGGCAGTGACAGCGTGGAGGGAGCGCTGGGTGGGTGCATCATTGGGGTTCCAACCTGGACCCCCGTGAAACTGCAGGTTGACTTTGGCTTCCCAGTAGCCATGGGATGCCAGACCTGCTGTGATCCCAACTCTCAGGAGACTGAGGCAGAGGCTCGCCATGTGTTTGTGGCCAGGCTAGGGGCTATGAAGTGAGTTCAGGACCAGCCCTGACTACATAGTGAGATCCTGTCTTACAAAAACCCCAAACTAAACAGAACCCGGTAGCTGCGAGTTGGTTGGGTGCCCGCTAACCTGTGCTCTCACCTGCCCTCCCAGGCCATGCCGCTGAAACTCTCCCTCCTCCTGCTGCTGGGCTGCCAGGCCTGGGCTGCTGTCTCAGCCTACTATGGCTGCCCCAGCGAGTGCACCTGCTCCCGGGCCTCGCAGGTGGAGTGCACAGGTGCGCGCATTGCAGTGGTGCCCACGCCCCTGCCCTGGAACGCCATGAGCCTGCAGATCCTCAACACGCACATCACCGAGCTCAATGAGTACCCGTTCCTCAACACCTCGGCCCTCATTGCCCTGCGGATTGAGAAGAATGAGCTGTCCACCATCCTGCCGGGGACTTTCCGCAACTTGGGCTCCCTGCGGTACCTCAGCCTGGCCAACAACAAGCTGCAGATCCTGCCGGTCGGCCTCTTCCAGGGCCTGGATAACCTTGAGTCACTGCTGCTGTCCAGCAACCAGCTGGTGCAAATCCAGCCAGCCCACTTCTCCCAGTTCAGCAACCTCAAAGAGCTGCAGCTTCATGGCAACCACCTGGAGTACATCCCCGACGGTGTCTTCGACCACCTGGTGGGGCTCACCAAGCTCAACCTGGGCAAGAACAGCCTCACCCAGCTCTCACCGCGTGTCTTCCAGCACCTGGGCAACCTGCAGGTGCTGCGGCTGTATGAGAACAGGCTGGCGGACATCCCCATGGGCACCTTTGACGGGCTGGGCAGCCTGCAGGAGCTGGCCCTGCAGCAGAATCAGATCGGCGCTCTGTCACCTGGCCTCTTCCACAACAACCGCAACCTGCAGCGGCTCTACCTATCCAACAACCATATCTCCCAGCTGCCGCCCGGCATCTTCATGCAGCTGCCTCAGCTTAACCGGCTCACGCTCTTCGGCAATGCCCTCAAGGAGCTGTCCCCGGGCATCTTCGGGCCCATGCACAACCTGCGCGAGCTCTGGCTCTATGACAACCACATCACCTCCCTGGCTGACAACGTCTTCAGCAACCTGCACCACCTGCAGGTGCTGATCCTCAGCCGCAATCAGATCACCTTCATCTCTCCCGGTGCCTTCAATGGGCTGGGGGAGCTCCGCGAGCTGTCCCTGCACACCAACGCGCTGCAGGACCTGGACGGGAGCGTGTTCCGTGCACTCACCAACCTGCAGAACGTCTCCCTGCAGAACAACCGCCTCCGCCAGCTCCCGGGCAATCTCTTCGCCCACGTCAATGGGCTCATGACCATCCAGCTGCAGAACAACCAGCTGGAAAACCTGCCGCTGGGCATCTTTGACCACCTGGGCAACCTGTGTGAGTTGCGGCTCTACGACAACCCCTGGAGGTGCGACACAGACATTCTGCCACTTCGCAACTGGCTCTTGCTCAACAGGGCCAGGCTGGGGACCGACACCCTCCCGGTGTGCTCCAGCCCAGCCAACGTCCGAGGCCAGTCCATAATCATCATCAGCGTCAATGCTGCTGTCCCCAGTGTCCAGGTCCCGCCCATCCACGAGGTACCCACCTACCCTGAAACACCTGGGTACCCAGACACATCCAGGTACCCCGACATCACGTCCATCTCCACCACCACAGAGATCACGAGCTCCGCGGAGGACCTCACCGACCTGACCACCATCGGGGGCTCCGACACCCGCGACATAGACAGCGGGACCCAGAGCGGGCTGGCCATCGCTGCCATTGTCATCGGCATTGTTGCGCTGGCCTGCTCCCTTGCTGCCTGCATCTGCTGCTGCTGCTGTAAGAAGAGGAGCCAGGCAGTGATGATGCAAATGAAGGCGCCCAACGAGTGCTAGGAATGTGGGCGGGAGCTGGGCTGGGCAAGGGACACTCGGGCCCTCTGCGTGCAGCCCAAGTCCCTGCAGCAGCCAGGCTTCTGGAGAGAGGTGGGCCTGTTCTGCCTGCACCCTGTCCTGCAGCGAGACCTGCCAGACCACTGGGAAGTTTGGGGATCCCCAGGTCACGAGCTCCGTCCCCACTTCTGCTCCAAGAACAGCCATCCCCACCCTGGCCCTCAGCCTCTGTCCACACGGTGCTGGCAGGGCCCTTTTTGGCTGAGGATGGTTCTCCGGACGCTCCTCCAGGCATTCTGGAAGCGCTTGTCCCTGCTCTTGCTTCTTTCCTGGTGTGCTGGCTTGATGCTGTCCCCTCAAGTGAAAACTAGCCCTGACTTTCTGCTGCTGAAGGCGGTGAGCTTTGTCCCCATGGAGGCTGACCCCAGGCTGTGGTTTTTTCCGCACCGGGCAGTGCTCGCTTCATGGCAGTGGGAAGCCGGCCACCTGCCTCCTGCACTGCACTGTCCTCTGCTTCTTCCCAGTGACTGTCACCTGAAGGGAGAGGTCAGGCACCAGCACGATGGTTCCACCTTATAGAGAATTTCCAAACTAGGAAAATGTTAGCCTTTGTGGAATAAAATCGTGTAGTGTTTCTGACTTCTGAAAACACGAAAACAGCCAATGGGTCCTGCTTGGAGAGGGCTCCCCAGTGCCCCAGGCGTCACCCACCCACCCCAGGGTTTTCCTTCTGAGTCTATGTTGGAGTTAACATTCACACTCAGAGCAGGCCACGCAAATGGCAGTGTGGGTGCCACAAGCTGGGCCCTTTGTGTAACCAACATCAGATGAAGAAACCGAAAGCCAACAGGCGTGGTGGTGCACGCCTGCAACCACAGCTGTTGGGAGGCTGAGACAGGAGGATCATCATGAGTTCAAGGCCAATTTCACCGAACTGCTTAGTGAAACTTTTCAAAAACACCACACACACACACACACACACACACACACACACACACACACAACCCCCCCCCCCCCATGGTCCTGTGCATCCCACTGCACCAGTGTGCTGGCCTTCTGGCAGCAGTGTGCTCTTAGCAGGACCAGGTTTTGTCACCAAGTCCCAGACTAGTCCCTGCAAAAGCTCAGTGGCTGGGGCAGAGGAGAGTCTGTGGGACCAAGGCTCCAGCCCGCGCAGGAGAGCCCTGAGAGAGCACACTGAGCCGGGAAGCCTGCGCACCACAGCCCCTTCCTGCCGGCCAACCAACCGCCGTGCCTCCGATGTCCCTCTGCCTGGCCTTTTATGGGCACCAAGCGCCTGTATCTGTTTGTAATTTGCATCTCCATTTTGGGGAAGCGAAATAGCTCATAGATGAGATCTTCTCGCTGAACGCCCAAATCTAATGGGAGCCAGGAGTCCCGCTAAAGCCACGGGTAAGGTTCTCCACGAGCATGAGTCAGTGGCAGCTGAACCTCAGAGTTTCCGCAGGCAGCAGACAGAGCACACACAGGCGCATCCCATGGGAGCTCCTCCTGCCCGAGGTCTGGGGATGTGTCGTGGGGGCCGGGGCATCTTCTCCCTAGAGTTATTGTCACATGGATACTGCCTGTCCTGCTACATGTGTCCGTACATGTTAAAGATGTGCTGCCCAGGCACGGTGGCTCATGCCTGTAATGCCAGCTACCCAGGAGGCTGAGGCAGAAGGATCTCAAGTTTAAGGCCAGCCTGAGCCACTAGAGAGCCCTGTCTGGGGACGTAGCTCAGTGGGAGAGTGCTTTCATTGTGTGAGTCCTGCTTTCAACCTCTAGCTCTGGAAATGAGTATTGCTCAAGGGAATGAGTGTTCTTCTCCAGACAATGGTAGTTCAGAAGTAAAGACGGTGTTCGAGAATTCCAGGTTTCTGTGTTGAGCTGTGCGCAGGGATTTGGAAACCTACTCCCTGCCCCGGTGCCTGTTATTTTTAAATTTTCCTTTAGTAGGGCCTTAAACTGAGCCACATCTAGCCCTTAATTTTGAGACAGGGTCTTGCTAAGTTGTTAAACTGCCCAGGCTGGCTTTGAACCTGGGATCCTCCCTCCTCAGCCTCTCTGAGTGCCAGGATTATAGGCACGCTCTGGCAGGCCTGGTTCCCTAATGGGCTTTTATTAGTTTTAATTCGCTCTATTCTACAAGGGGACTAGGAAGCCCCCTATTTCAGGGGAACAGGATTCCTGTTTTGTCCCTGACACGGATGGTCTAGGAGAGTGTTTATAAGTGTCCTTTTCAGGCACGTTTCCGCTTCCCGTCTCAGGGACTCCGATGTTAGTCAGGAGATACTGTTTTCCCCGGCACACCTGGGCCTGGGAGGTGTTTCCCAAGCAGTTGTCACAGGCACAGGTCAGGTGCCACAGCTGCCAGGGCCGAAGGAGGTGAGCTCCTGCACAGGCAGTGGCCTGGGTGTGGCCCTGGGCCTGTTCCCCAAGCACGAGGCACCGAGTCCCTCAGGCCAGCACTGTGACAGGCTGCATCTCACTGCCCAGGTGTGAGAGGCATAGGGATGGAGGGGGCGCAGGCCGCCAGCACCCAGGGTCCTTGCGGGTCTGAACAGGAAGCTGGGGTATCTGCATCTGCCATGACATTGCAGGGCCATCTTCGCTGGCCTGAGTTTGGCCTGGGGACAGCTGTCTTGCTCCAGCCAGGCACTGGCAGGGACCTCCTTTGCACCTCACCTGTCCCTGCCAGTGAGTGATCTATGTATCCCTGGGCCTGCCCTCCTCGGCAATGTCATCTGGTCAGGTGTTGGGGACAAGCCAGGAGTCCCCCTTCCTCTTCCTATGGGGATAGTGTGTGTTTAGCTCTCAGGGCTGGAATGATCTGCTGTTTGGTCCCCAGAGAGCTGAGTAGGGGACAGCAGGTCCCTTTCTTATGTGCCCAAGGGTTCTTGGCCCCCTTGCTGGTCACCAGCAGCCTGTGTGTGGTGTGGAGCCTGGCATCAAGGCTAGAGGAAAAGGGATAGAAGATAACGAGGACCGCCAGGTTTTAGGCTTTGTTTTTTTGAGATTGGGCTATGTAGCCTAGGCTGGCCCAGCACTTGAGATGATCCTCCTGCCTCAGCCTCCTGAACACTAGGATTCCAGGCACCCACTACCACACCTAGTAGGACCTCTGTTTTTAAAAGCACTCACCATAGATGGTGCCTTCAAAGCTCTTGATAAACTCTGCCTGGAACCCTCTGGACAGCCCTGATTGGAGAACCGTCCTTACTCCTTGGGCTGCGGCCTAGCACTGTTTGCTATTTCGTGCATTTTAAAATCTATAGTGAGTGTATATCTCTTCCCAGCATTTGTACCCAGACTGCTGGGCCATCTGGGGCCTTTGGAAAGTGGGCTTCACCTTCTGGGGTCCCCATAGCCCCAGTCCACTGGGGCCACAAGCTTCGTAAACATAGGGGAGGGTCATGTTTGTCCACTGAAAGGGACACCCGTCCCTCTCCTGGGGTTGCTCCTCCTCTTAGGACACAGGGGCGCAGCCAAGTTCTTAGAACTCTTTCCTGACAGCTGCACCATCCCCAACACCGCCCGGAGGCTGAGACAGGAGAATTGCAGCCAGCCTGGACTACAGAGTGAGACTCTGTCTCAAACAAGTGAACAACGAGAGGGTGGGTGGCGCTGTTTCAGGGTGAAGCCTCTCCTGTCCCCGCCCATCTCTCCACTTCACGGTGAGAGCCTGACTGGGAAGGGTGGAGCCCGCTTCTTGCTTGTGACCTGCTTGCTGTGAGAATCTGCAATGAGTGGTCTGCACAGGTGCGCAAGTTCTCTGGGGAGCCGAGGGGGCTCAAGCCTGCTTTAGCACCGTCACTCACATCCAGAGGGACCTGTAGACAGTGACCCTAGAAAGTGAGCAGAGACAGAAAGGGTGTGGCACACAACATCCCCCAACCATGTTGGGAAGGGAGTCAAGATGGGGTGGAGAGGTACCTGAGGCAGAGCCCTTGCCTGGCTCGTGCAGCTTGTGTAAGGCCCTGGGTTTGGTTCCTAGTTCTGTTAAAAAACAAAAACAAAAAATTCTTTTCGGGGCTGGTGAGATGGCTCAGTGGTCTAAAGCACCTACTTAGAACAAGCTTAGCAAAGCACAGGGACCACGGTTCAATCCCCCAGCACCACATGTCAGCCAGCCCCGCCCCCTGGTGGGCTGAGCTGGCCACACACACACACACACACACACATAAATAAATAAAACTTTAAAAAAAAATTCTTTTCATGAGCTGGCATTGTGGCATCAACCTGGAGGCTGAGGCAGGAGGATCACCTGAGTTCAAGACCATCCTGGGCTACATAGTGAGTTCAAGGCCAGCCTGAACTATATAGACTCGGTCTCAAAAAACCAAAACCAAAACCAAAACCAAAACCAAACCAAACCAAACCAAAACAAGAATAGATTTAACCCATTTTAAAGGAGAAAAGTGAGCTCCACATAGGACATGAACTTTCGAAGTTTCTTTGTGAATTATTGGCTGAGCTGGTGTGCAGCCCTGACTTTCAGCCGCCCAGGCTGGCATTGGTCTTTGCAGGAAGAGGAACGGCAGGTCAGGCTTGGCTTGCTGTCCCGGTGCCCCACTGTCTTGTGGGAAGAGGGCTGCACACTACTCTCTCTCTCTCTCTCTCTCTCTCTCTCTCTCTCTCTCTCTCTCTGTTTTCTTTGGTACTGGGGATTGAACACAGGGCCTTTGTACTGAGTTACTTCTCTGGCCCTTTTCTATTTTTACTTTTTCCATTTGGGATAGGGTCTTTTTAAATCGCTCAGTTGGGGGCTGGGGAGATAGGTTGGCAGTCTAAGTGCCTGCCTGGCAAGCACAAGGACCCAAGTTTGATTCTAGTACCACATGCCATGCTGGCCCTGAAACTGGGCATGGTGGCATCCTCCTGCAATCTCAGTGCTGGGGAGGCTGAGACAGAAGGGTCGCTACAAGTCTGAGCTGCATAGTGAGACCCTGTAACAAACAAACAGGCAAATAATTGCTCAGCTGCTCAGGCTGGGCTCCAACTTGAGGTCCTCCTGCCTCAGCCCCCTAGAGCTCCGGGATTATAGGCCTCTGTCAACACGCTTGGCTTCACAGACCTCTTACGATCTTGCCAGGTGACTTCCGTCCCAGGAGGCTGGGTCAGGACAGGAGTCAGCAGTGTTCTCCATGTTCCAGGCTGCACCCCACAGTGATGGGATGGGGCTTGTTGCCAGCCCTTAAACCTGCACGGCATGCCTGGGGCCTCTGAGCCCCCCACATCTGCAGTTGGTGTCACATTTGTGCACACGCTCAGGCATACGCACACCGCCCCGCAGGGACATGTGGATGTTCCACTACTTATGCTAGCACTGGCTAGTTCCTGAGGAGCCAGACTCAGTGCTGACTGAACAGGGTTTCTCTGTGCTCCATGGCACGCTGAGGGTGGGCAGAGCAGTCCTGGAACATGGGTACACTGAGAGCCCACTCAGAGAGCCAGCATCCCGCTCTGGCCAGCCCAGGGGTCACCGGGGTGCAGCCGGGCATGCTCTATAAGCTCCAGCCAGGCACAGATTCGGAGCCTGTCTCCTGCCATCATCCAGCAGCCCCTTGCGGCGTGGCGGACGTGGTCTGCCATGCGCAAAAGAAATGCTCCTTCCCACTGGTAAAGGGGTAAACATCAACACCATGCACAGATTAGAAGCCATCAGCTTGAAGGGGGTGTAGACACCGTGATCCTGGCACTCAGGAGGCTGAGGCAGGAGGATCACTACAAGTCTGAGGCCAGCTGGGCTGGGCGAATTCAAGGCCAGCCTGGACTGCAGAGTGAGAAACTGACTCAGAGAGGGAGAGAGAGACAGAGACAGAGACAGAGACAGAGACAGAGAGAGAGAGAGAGAGAGACAGGCAGACACTATCAGACTAGTTGGAATGGCAGTGCTGTCTTTGGCAGTGACCTCAGTCTTCAGACTTGGCTGTCCCTGCATGTTGTATACCCTGCATCACACACATGCTGACACACTCACCGCATGCACACACACACTTCCCCCTGCTGATTGGGTGCTTCTATGGGGGGTGTGCCCCTACCTCCCCAAGCTGCTGCTTTTGTTCCTGGGCTTTCCTTCGCGAGTGTCTCGCTTTATGTTGGAGCGCATTCACTTCCCGCAACTCCATGAACTGAGAAGGCTTTAGAAAGCTTATTAAGTGAACCAATCACAGACAGAGCCCAGAGCCACACCTCTCCTCTCAGGGTTTCTCTCTAGGTTGGGGGAGCTGGGCAGGTGCTGGGGCTGCTGCTGGCTAAGGGGGACCCCGGCCCCACTCTGTTCACAGCAAGTGGGGTGAGCAGGACTCGTGGACCCACGCTCACCCAGTACAGCGGGGGACATTCTAGCCCCTCTCTGGCCGCAGTGGTGCCATATCTGAGACCCTCTGTGGAACTCGATGTGCCAGGCATCTGTCCATAGGGTCATTTTGTAATCCTCAGACCTTGCCCCATGGCCTTGGTGACATTCCCAGAATACATAGGCCATGTCAGGGGAGGAACAACTGCCTGGAACTTTGATCAGGGCTGAGAGTGGCTTCTGCTGACAACAGACCACACTGGATGCCCCTCTGCTCTGAGAGGAACCAGGCCACTGTCCCGGCCAGCTCGGGCCCTCACGGTAGGACTCCGGGCCACTCTGGGTCGAGCCACACCCCCATCCCACTGGAGGTGGGAGGGGGTCTGCTGCTGCTCAGGTTCTAGGTTCCATGGTGTCCCCAGGAACAGAGCTGGGACACCCTGGGGGCTGGGTGCAGGGTGTGTGTGTGTGTGTGTGTGTGTGTGTGTGTGTATGTGTGTGTGTGAATAAGGACCCTGATTACCCTGGAGTCAGGAAGATGATGCACTATCTCTGCTGAGAGGACAAAGGGGAAGACCCAAAGTTGGGGTCATAGGGAGTCACCAACACAACCGTTCGATTTAGCACACCCCAGGCCAGGTGTAGGGTATAGAGCTGGAGACGTGAATGCACTGTCCTAGAACAGAAAGGCCCAAGTGTCCAACGCAGGACCCACAGGACACGTGGGACAGGAGGGCTTCCTGGGGGTAGTATGACTTGTACTGGTCGAGGGGGTGTGAAGGGGACCAATAGCCACAGGGAGAGTCAGGCACGGGCATCCTGCATGCCAGCGATGGCTCGGAGGTGGGGCCAGCCCTGGGAGAAGCCGTGAGCCCTCACTTCAAAATGCCAGCTGCCTTCCTCGTAGAGCACCGGCACCCAGATGGGTCACCAGAGAGCCACCAAAGACCACGCAAAGGCCAAACTGTACTCTCTCAGGGGCCTTTGGGTCTGTGCCTTGTGTTTATACAACTCTGTGTTGTCATTTATCCCTCCCCCTCCTCGAATGCGCTCACCCCACCGTTCTTACTGCTTTCTGCAGCGGCTCTGGAGTCCTCTTTCTTGAGGTCATTAGTTGTGCTGTGCCAGCTGCCTTGGTGTCCTGATTCGATTCAGAATGATCTTTCTGGGTCATCTTGACTTTGAGGAAGAGCCAGAAGTCTCAGGGTGCCCAATCTGGTGGAGGAAGTGACTGTCATGTTTTTATGAGGCTGCCTTTCTGTAGGGTGGCTCTAGCCGGTGACATTGTCAGGCCATCTCAAGGAGATGCTCAGGAAAGAGGACTCCAGAGCCACTGCAGAAAGCGGCCAGAGCGATGCTGAGTGCGCTTCCAGCAGCGGCGGCGGGCTAGCGTGGCGGGCTTGCATGGCAGTGGGTCTTTTCTCATAGTAAATTTTTATTGGGCGGGTGCCAGGAACCAAACTCTGGACCTTGTGCTTTGCCAGGCAGGTGCTGTGCTGCTGAGCTATATCCCAGGCCCTGTAATAAATGTTTAAGTTTAAACATTCGTCAGGTTTGAAGCAGGAGGGTAGGTGTGAGTTCAAAACTAGCCTGTGGGCTACAAAGGTAAGCATAAGGCCAGCCCGAACAACAAAAAAAGCCCCCCAAGGCCGACCAGAGAGCTCAGCAGATTAAAGTGACTGCTTAGGCAGATGCAGGGGTCTGGGGGGCCTGCTGTGCTGGCCCGCCCCCAGGGCTCACTGAGTTGACACTGGGTGTGGTGGTATGTGCCTGGAATCCCAGTGCTTGGGAGGCTGAAAACAGGATCACTAGGAGTCTGAGCTGTGTAGTGAGGCCCTGTAGAACCTGTACTAAGTA